ATAAAAATCAAATTTAGGACGAGTAATTTATGAGTTATAAGTATTTAAAGTTTAGATTGGCAGAGTGGAGTGGAGTGGTACGGGGTTACCCCACAAAATGTTTGTCCACTACTCCGCTTGTTTAAACTTAAATATTAATAACTCATAAACTACTCGTTCTAAATTCGATTTTTATGCATCAAAATACTTAGAAAAATATTCTGCTCGGGAATATGAAATTAAAAAACTATGTTGTCATTCAAAAAAGTAAAAAAATATTTTGAAAAAGTCAATACTTTTTTAAATAATGATTGTTGTTTGATAAATCAATCACCTTGTATAGGTGATTAATAAATAATATTACCCCTAAAATATTAAATAACACCTATGTTTCTTATCTTATACTTTGAGTGGTTTGACACCCTTTCTTTTTACACTTTAACAATTTTCTTTCTTTCCCGCGCTCTTTTTTTATGCAATATTTCATTTCGCTATCACATWTATTGCACAATAGATTTTTCGCAATTAATTAATTACCTAGTAACTGATTCTTCGTTTTGTATAATAAATTTTGTAAAACCTTGTATGAAATGTGAACTCAAATATTGTCACCCAATGACTAATTTAYGATAAAAAAATATGATATGATGTAGCAAAAGAGAGTTCTAATCTTTATTACCATTAAGTCACTATAATAAAGATATAAATTGTATATKATATCGCATACAACAATCGTCCACTAATCGCAGGTAGACCGCAATCTGGGGTAGAGCGCATATAAGAAAATARCCGATTTTAACCGTTATAAAACAATTTTGACATCATAAGCCCTCATCCCCTTTTTTTTCTTATATTTTCCATAGCAAAATTGTGAATAAGTGAATACAAAGTTTCAAAACGTCATAATGACTTCTTTTGTAATATCACAATATTTTTGTTTGAGTTCGGACACTCCTACTTGACCACCATGACCATTAGAAGTATGACATGTATTTAGAACATCAAATAAATCCTCATTGGTTACATACATAAATATACACTGATTGCCCACAATAACTGGTGTGCACCGGCATTACTGATATCACCTAGTCATTACCGTTATTGGTGGAATTACCGATAATGACGGTAACATACACAAATATTAATAGACCCCAAAATTATTCATTAATTAACCGTAAATGTCACATGATTCATATTTCAAAAATATGATTTATATGACAGTCTGTACCTKAGAGGCAGAAGGGTCCAAGTCCATTGTTGTAAATTTTCAGGAAAGCCAAAAAACCGTTTTTCAACTATTTTTATTTTACTTAAATGGTTGGTGTAAATTCAATTTAATGATTATATCAATGCGGTTTGTTTTAAATTGTAGGTTATAATATTCTCAATAGTATGAATATTTTTTCTTTTATTTATAACTTACCTATAATTGTTTATTTTACAATTTAAATTAAATATTTTGGACTTAGATCATTTTGCTTAATCACATAATTGACTTGGATTCTATTAATMTCCATGTTAATTTTGATCCTTTTGAAAATAATACAATATTATAATATTATTACATCATTGACTGTTGTAAATTGTAATATACCTAGCCATATAGGTAAAAATTATAATATTGTATTGAATAATTTACAATTTTCACTATATAAGTTATTACCTAAAGTTAAAAGTATAATATTATAATATTATATGACTAAATGTAAAACATACCTAATATTATTAATATATAA